ACAAAATTACAATTCAACAAAGTCTCTTAATTTTACGGGACGTACCTTCTTCCATACTGGTCTCCGTCTCGTTGGCTTCTGCTTCACGTAGGGTTCACCTGCTTCTTCAGGAAATGTCCTATCGTCGGTAACAGTCACATCAGTAGTAGTAACTTTATCAAGAGCTTCACCGTTTCCCTTCTCAAAACTGAGCAGAGTTTCTTCTTCAGGTGGCACGTCTTCAGCAGCGCCATTTGTTCTGTTATCCACTTCATCCCAACTGAAATGTCCTGGACCGTGATAACGCGAAAGCCTGTTGGCATGCACCACTTTTGGCTTACCTCGCCGACCACACTTTACCCGGAAAGTCACGTCTGAGAGACGATCCAAGATGTCATATGGGCCTTCCCATGGATAAGATAACTTAGGAGACTTCCCTTTGGTCTTCCTGGAATTATACAGCCATACCTTGTCTCCTGGTACAAAGCTGACTTCAGTAGATCTCTTATCATAAGTTAACTTCATCGAATCAGCAGACATTTTCAAGTTTGAATGCACTTGATGGTGAATATCATCCATCCTTTCCAATAACACTTTCAGAAACTCTGACACATTCTCAGGCAACTCTTCCTAAGGTAGGCATCCTGTATGCTTCGGTCCCCTTTTAGCACAACATGTACTGCATGTTCTGCACCATTCTTCCACATCTCGCCTCATACCTATCCAGTAAAATCTTTGTTGTAGGTGACTCAATGTCTTCTTAATTCCGATATGTCCCCCTGTTAAACTATCATGGGATTGACGCAGCACAACTTCCCGTAACTTCCTCGGTATAACTGCTTGCCAAGTCGTCAATTTCCCATCTGTAAATTCCTATCTCCGGACAAGAATACCATTTTCAAGCTTCAACTGGTCCCATTGCGCCCAATAGTGCTTTGTCACAGGGCTTAGACTAGACACCTTCTCCCAAGCAGGGCGCAAAACACTTGCTTTTAGGAAATCAATTATAGGCTTCAAATCTTGGTATTTCTCCTGTTCTGCCTTGATATCTATATTTGGTTCCACTTCACCATCATCAACTTCTTCAGTCACTTTGACTTCAACTTGATGGCATCTAATTAGTTCAACCTCTCTTTTAACAGTTACCGGAACTTGGCCTTTGTTATTCTCA